CATGACATCCGCAGTCGTAAACGTGATGTGGCTGAGTCCTGGTGGTGGTACAACGATTGGGAACAGTGTTTGCGGCGATGTCGTACCCTGGAAATTCGGGGCGAATTGTTGACATAGGGCGTTGGCCGCCTCGGTTGCGTTTTGTGCAAGTCCACACAATGTGTGTAAAGCAGGAATTCCTCGCTGTACTTTGCGGAGCTTGTTAACGTGTCTGTACAGGAGCTTGGGGTTTGAAAGAAGTTTCTCAGCTAGATTCTGTTGGTGCTGCATTTTATCTTCGCGTACCAGGTTTACGTAGTGATTCCTTTGGATAGTGTAGTGATACAAACTAACCGGATGCAAGAGTGCTCAGTGGTCCAAATTCCGCCAAGGGTAGATTGTCCTTCAGTAATCGACCACTCTGTGCACAGGTATCCTTGAGGTCAACTCCGTGGCGTGCCGCGTCACGTTATGCCGCTAGTTCCAACAGGCGCACACACACAAATCCGGCCAAACAAAAAGATTTGCGTACGTTCGATAGAACGCGATTCACAATGCGGCGTGAGAGCTCTTGGTCAACCAAGAAAGTGTACGAAGTTGTAATGGTTTCTAGTCGCCTTATGCAGCTACCGACAGGGTTGGTTTGGGTATCCTGAAGTAGACCTAGCAATAAGCTTTCTGATAATTCCAAAAAATCTTGATGAATGTAGAATAGTGGTGCACTCGTAGGCGAACGACAGCGCTGAAACACTGCCGGAATCGAAAACCGGCGTTAGACGTTGATACATTAATATTATCCTAGAGAACGTTTACGCAATGGGTAGGCCTGATCGAGCCCGATTGAATGAGTGTACCTAGGCCGATGTGCGAAAAATTTTTGAATCCGAAACCTTGAAAAGTCACGAGTAACGAAAAAATTCCGACCAGTACGTCACGTCACTCGCGTTAATTTCCCAGTTCTTTTGATTGTCTGTATATTCCCCACTTTTCTACGCCTTATTTTTATCATGTTCGTTTCTCGTTACTTGATGTCCGTTGAATAACAATTACTCCTGCTCATACACTACATCAGACTTGATACCATCTTGTATCCACTCTGTGTTATGGTACAGTCACAATTAACAGCCGTTTACTAGTTTATTTTTATATTATGTGTATGCTCTTTGATTACCTCGCTGTAGCTGCGCTTGATGTAAATGTTAACTTTAAGATCAAGCAAGAGAGGTTGCACGGTCCCTGTGACCGTTCTAGGCTTAAAGAGTGGTTCCATCTAGCATGGAGAGGGCTACGGTCCAGAGACTGTCTCGTGTACGTCCGTACGCATGACTCCCAAGTAAGCTAGACAGGAATGTTGCTACTGAGCAAACTGAAAGATTGTGAGCCGGCTCATTTGAAGAAACGTGACTCCCATCCATGCGCATACCAGTAATAGTAATTCGCGTTTGCACTGGATGGGGTGTGTGGATAGAGCTGTGGGTGGTGCAGCGCATACATGCTGCGGCTATCCCCATAGAGGCTGCAGTGACAGGCGAATCTGCAATTTGACGCCGCCAACCATATACAGTAAAAGATGTGAGTAACGAGGATGTCACATTAGGTCAACTTGACGACCGTATTGTTTTCATACGTACTTAGCGTCGCGGAAGGCAGCGATCACGCAGCAGACTGAAAAGTCATTAGAATGAGCGAGGACCGAAACGGGCGGACACCATGGACGAGATCGAACAACAGAACACCAGCCCAACAAGACCAGCAGAGAGCGGAACGCGAGCAACGAAAGAAAACGTGCCTGGTCCAAAGAGTGCTGAAAAGGGATATATCGACGAGCTAATAAATAAGACAAACACATTTGTCGGTGCATCCTGGAATAATCCCAAGCCGAATAATGCAAGCGAGATCACACAACTTAAGAGCTTTAGAAAGACTCCAGGCTTGTCAGAATATGAGCTACGGAAGCAAAGCTACGGGGTCAGACAGGCAGCCAGGGTCACGAAATATTCCGACCGACGATGCGCGAATGTGACATGTTGTGATTCCCCATGCATGTTTTGTTGTGGGACGGAACAAAGGTCAATAAATGCGCGCCTGCGAGCAGCTTGTGAAAAACCGTGATCGTCTGAGATAAAGACTGTGTTTGCTTGCCGCTTTTTGGTTCTTACAGTATGGTTGCCTCGCTTACGTATTATTTAGGCAAACATCCACCAGACTACTGACCCAGTTTCGTGAAGTAGTTAGGAATATTGTGAGAAGATAATCCAGGAGCATTTATTGCTTCTGTATTAAGCGGCGCATTTTGAAATGCGTACTAAATTTTGCCCGCCATGTACGCAGTGACTTAAAATAACCCTGTTTACAGACTCACACTTCCCACATAGAGCGTTTTTTTCTCAGTGATACTGTTATGCGCTTTTAAGAAGGGGGTGCAATATTATTGGAACCTTATCAATATTAGAACATGCAGACCACCACTCATAATTTTAGCTTATCAGAAAAAAGTGTAATTAACAGAAAAACGCCAATCTCAGGCAACAACTCCAGTCATTTATCTACGGGCCGGCATATAGCCTATATGGTAAATAAGCAAAGACGTAGACCGTAATTTGTACCCATGTTTGTCCAAACTTAGGTAGGCCAATGTTTAGAACTTTGCGGAGGTTTTGGTTGTGCCAATTTCTCAGCTAGGCGTATTTCACTAGCTAGTGGCTCACAGGTTATGGAGCACACAGGTTGCATATTCAAATGCTGCATGGTTGCTGAAGTGTCGATTGTCTGCAGGCTTCCAGTGGTGACAACGTTTGGTGGAAAGTGTAAAACAGCAGTTTTTATTGTGCTTAGGAGCCCCGTATATATGCCACGTGAGGTTATGCTACCAGTGTTCTTTACAATAATGCTGTTCCGCAGGGTTTTATTTATTAGAGGTGCACAACCTTTTGGAGAGAAGGTTTTCGGTTTCTAAACAGAGCGTCTATGCACCTGGTTGTTGAAGGACCAAGAGTGAGTAGAAATAGTCGTTTGCGCAATGGAACTTTCTTGTATGTTCAGCGAAGAGCTGCGCAGTAATGGTGAACTAACGTAACAGGGAGTGAAGTCAGAAGCGATATTTTTACGACAGTTGCTATTTGACTTCAAGGTTAGAGTTGATTCATTTATGGTCAAAGTGTCATCTAGGTCGACCAAGTAGGGAAGTTCCCGAATTTCCGTGGATTGAGGAACAAATTGGTCCCAAACTGTTGGTCGGAAATAGTAATATTGGCACTCCCTTTGTGGTGCTGTTAAATCTGGTTTCAGTACCCTCGATATATAATCATTCCTAAGGGATACTACGCTCCTACTAAAATGAATTTTTCATCAATTATTTCGTTTGAAAATTTAAGAAGTATCAAACAGACCTGCTTCGAAGACCTCTTTCTCAAGCTAATGTAAGAAAACTGCAGTCTTTCAATATGACAATCGTTGTCCATTGCAGAGGAGATAGCTTCAAGTGATAACTTTAAATGCTATTGCATTTTGGAACGTTTAATGCCCTCATGAACGTCAAATGCAACATGTTGTATAAAGTTTCCAACAGGTCGAAAGTGTTCCATTTTTGGTGCGTTTGGAGTGTGAAAGATACTTAAGCGAGTTAAAGTGCCCAAGGACCTGGTTAAGAAATTCAAACCTTTCTTTCAAGTCCTTCAGCTGTAGTTCAAATGCAGTAATCATTTGAATCGCTTTAGAGGGCAATTCTGCATCAACTGCGCCATGCTCTATTAGAGAATCTTTTATGCGAACTTTCATTAGATTGCTTCTTTACACTTACGCGCTAGTTCGGATTTATCTTCATCTTAGATGATTAGCCTTTCACTTTTTCCGTGCTAACGGACGTGGTATAAGCAGGATGCTTTGCCAGCGTTTCATTGGCTTCCTGCTTCTTTGTTTCTTGTTTTGATTGAGGTAACGTGCATTTTCACTGATTAGTCACTCGGTTAGGGCTCGTAATACCTATGTTATGTGAACAAATATTAGACAATAGAGAACAAAGTTCACAGCTTTAGTTACATTGATCGAGAGAAATCAAACAGTCGTCGGTAAGCCGCCAAGGCTACAGACTACCTATCTAAAGTGCACGATAGTCACACGGGTGCAAAATGGCCACTGTTGCGGATGCAACGATCGATACAAACCAACTGGATGTAAGGGCGCTCAATTGTCCACATTCCGTCAAGGGTAGATTGTCCTTCAATACTCCACCGCTCTGTGCAAAGATAGCCTTGAGGTCCACTCCGCGGCTTGCCGCGTCAGGTTACACCGCAAGTTTCAATAAGCGCACACGCACAAATGCGTCCAGAGATTGGCGTGCATTCGATAGAACGCGAATCGCAGTGCGACGTGAGAGCTCTTGGTTAACGAACACAGCGTACAATGATGTAATTGCTTCCGTGCTTATTTGCAGTATCATGTGTAGAAATGCAGCAAAAGCGTTATCGTAGCTTACTGATACATCATGACTGTTTGGAAAAGCATTATATGTGGTTTAAAAAGTTCTGCCTAACATCGCAAGATGTGACCTGTAAATCATTTTACCTGAAAATCTCGCTGGGCCTATAGATACACAGTCACACACGGCACATTAATTTCCAAAGTATCGGCGCTCTATAGACAACGTGCTTGTGTCGACTGGCATGGCAACAGAAGATGTGCAGTGTCTATCATGTGCCTGAGTATGTCGCCTGCCATTTGCAAATATAAGAGGTTTTCTCATCATCTGCATTGCACCTGGAGGTACGGTAATCCTGAACTTCATCACATGCAATGGCTGGCCTATGTGCGTTTAGCTTTGTGTTGAATGGGTATACCAATAAGAATGACGGTTTTGAAACAGAGTACGAACAAACCTTCAATTATACCATGCGCGATAAGGGTATCATCGTGAACATAATGGCTAAAAGATGGACATATATTTACTAATTTCCGGTATTTAAACTCCACCTACCCTTCCCATCAATGCAACTAAATGCCTACTTTTCTGCTTATCTTTGTAGTCTTGCCCGCCCCTAGTAACTTGACTGCAGCGGCAACATCTTTCAGCGAGATTGAACTCAAATGGACTCCACCGGACAATTTGGAACAAAACTCCAGATTGCTACAGCACTACCAAATTCAATACGCCCCCATGTCTACCATTGCAGCCACCGCCACAACCTCGATAAACAGCAGTTTGCTGCATTGGACAGCGTCATTGGATTCGCTCACTTCCGACAGCGTAAATACCAAAATCATCGGGGCACACCTTAACACTATGATGATATCTGACCTCAAACCGGATCAGTTGTACATTATAGCAATTGCCACAGTATCCCAAGCCGGCCCTGGAGTCAGAAATGCGGTTTTCTGTCGGACCAAAAAGTTTGGTAAGCTAATGTGGAAGCAATTGGCACAAAAGCATTGTTACATACTGCTGTAAGGTTGTTTTATCAAAACCGGATCAAAGTGTCGCTATTTTGTCACGTTAGATAGCAAGTAGAGCGGTAGTTTTTCAAATTTGGCGAACGTACTCACCAATATTTCATTTGATGGGATTCGTTTCACAACGAAGTCCGAGGAAAACTAAAAATCCGCGCCAATAATTGGTGCTGTGTTGCAAAGTTCAGATTACACAAAAGCATACCGAAATCAAAATTCATCCAGTCACCAGAGGCAAAATCAAGGCAGCATACATAAACAAACATTATCAACAGCACATCCCATACAAAATAAATGGCCGCATGCCTTATGAAGGAATGTTGCATCAAAATAATCAGTTAAGTTGAGTGGTTTGGAAAGTTATTGCACTGGTAATACCCAACCATTGGAATCTCTATCCAAGTCTGCATAGATAGAATGAGTTGCCACACCAAACGAACTGATTATAACCCAGCTCCCAATTCCCCATTGATTTTTGCATCCATAAATTACGCCTTAACGGGATCGGAGACGGACGTAATTTATCCATATAACTCATCATAGCAGTGAAATACTCCTTAACATGACGGGTTCCCTGACCTTATTCTTGCCGTTTGAACGGCTGGTTAGCGCAATTGTGTACTCGATGAAAAAGCCACTAATGCCATCTCAACTGCAGCAGTTGCTTTCCTAGTAATATACACAACACTATGTGCAGACCTGATACACCGAGGTGCTCGGAACCTAACCAGTTAAGTAATCTACAGCCAATTGTAACTTGGTTGCACTGAGTCTACGTTGAACTCATTGGAACCTAACAAAACAGGGTATTTTGTTAAATATGGCATTTTCATTCGGTTGATAACCTTGAATGAGAGCGTTAGTCACAGGGCCCAGCAGATTTTGAAATACCTATTTTCCAATTAACTAGCTTTTCGTATACTTCTTAGTAGCAGTTAACGCTACAAATTGTTATATCATCAACGTTGTTACACGGAATTGCACTTTTACAGTACCACCACAACCTGCGAACTTGACTGTACAAGCGGTGGGTCCAACAGAACTCTTTGTTCAGTGGCAGTCGCCTATCCCCGACAACCCAGACCGCACGACAGCAGCTATAGCTGGCCGAATAGCGTACTTCGAACTTACTTGGCGCCCTTCAAATAAAGATGTAAGTCAGGATGATGTGCGGTGGGGTGTTCAATAGACACTCTAGGTTATTTCACAGTGTGACATTTGAATTCTCTTGTGTACGATACTAGGTCTTGTTGCACTTCAAATAAATATGTAAGTCTGAATGATGTGCAGTGGGGTGTTTGAATGTCAAAACTTTCAGCAGACACTCTAGGTTATCTCACAGTGTGACATTTGAATTTTCTTGTACATGATACTAGGTCTTGTAGATCAACAGATCTTAAACGATATAGTACAACTACAGTACTTAATCACTGAGTTCAAGTATACTTAAATTGACAAAACTGTATTGATCGATGTGCCTACATTTAACCATACAAATCCCAAGCCGCTGAATTCCTCAGCATTGGAAATTCACTTACTTTCCCGATAGACCCAGACTAAATTCGATCGCCAAGAATCGGAGACAGAAGCAATGTATGGATGATAAGAGCTGTGACATTAAATAGGGCCAACTGGCCAATATGTTAGTGAAAACTTTTTCTGAATTCCGTTGTAAGCTTTAGCCAGAGCAAGTCTCCCCACGTTAGACTGTCAATCATTCTGGAGTAGAAAGCCACTTTAAATGAATGGGGTCTTGTTAACCGTGATGAATTTTAACGAAACCCAGCAACATACTTATCCTGGCGTGAGCAACCCGACAATAGTTTACACTATGGTTTGACTGATGATGGTGTTATATCGCTCAGCCGTAATAAGTCTAAACACTTAAACTTAAGAATCACAGGGCTACCCACTATCCGCCCACTGGTGTCACTGTACTCCGGCTTTCTAAGTCTGGGAAATTGGGCTTGCTAGTGTATTGTTCAAACCAAATCACTGTTGTGAGGTAGAGAAATCTGACTCCAGTGTAGTGCCAAATTAATGTCCACGGGCTAAGGTAAGCTATTCAATGCCAGTGCATTGGTTATCAGGAAACAATGAGAAGAAACCCACAGCTATGGGACTGCAAGGCACATATCCTGTACATCACATATACCCTCATGAAATCGAACCAACGGAAGTCCGCTGACGAACTGACTATGTTCCACAAGAAGGGAAAAATGGAACCTAGAACACAGACGTGCATTATATTCTAGTTTCTGCCATGGTTGAAGAAAGCGATAGTGGTGTGTATATGTAATTAGAAGAATATGATTTACGAGGCATTTTGAAAGCTGTTTTATGTGTCAGGATTATAAAGTGGATGAGAAATCGAATTGAAACGAATGCCAAGAGAAATCCGTACACACCGGATTGTCTTCCTTTTCAGCCGTTTAACGTCCCGGTAGTTGACTCATGAACAGTTACACCTAGTTTCAATATATTTGAATTCTCACCGCGATACGAAGTCTGTTCTTCGTTGAGTCACTGCGTAAATAGGTTTACACAGATATCCTCTGTTGTCCCAGCGGATACCATCTTCCCTAGTCCATAACCGAGTTGCAATCCCCCAGGAGTTTAGCGCAAGCGGGAACCAATCTGGTGTAGTATCGGTATTGCCATCAAATCAACTGTAGTACCCAATTACGCAAGGAACATGATGGAGGGTTTATGAGTTCAAGCTACATTAATATCAGAGTTGCGGGTCACTCGAAAACATATTTCGCATTACTGTTTTTTAAGGCATTCGTCCCACCTATTCTAAACAAGGCAAAGTAAGTATACACGGTTAATCCTGGACCGCATCCACATCATCTCTCCTGACCATAAGCTAAAGTAAAAAAAATTTCGTTTTTATTATACAGTTGAATGGTGAGTAAGCGGATCACTTAACTCGATCTTCCGACATCGCTGCGCCTGGCTCGCTTTTGAAGCCCCTGCTTAGATTTCATCGGGTTGCTGGTACTGGTATTGCGTCTCAGCACATTCTCTAGCCGCCAGATTGTAACCCTAGCTGCGGTAACGTGCCATCCTCTCATTGGTCACGTTGTGCGCTGAGCACAGGACGTATCTCATAAACTGCCCGATTGTTCCGTTCGATCATGCGTCACATGTCCACTCCAACCCACATTAATCCGGTCCTTATTTCCAGCCCAGCCGTTTTGGGTCACGGACTGACTTTCACATGTATTACCCAGTCTGTGGTCCTATTGAGATCCGCTTCTTGAAGTGAAACTTGGGAATCATTAACGTTGGCATTTTGTTGTCAATCCATAACTTTTTTGAATAGCACCGCAAAAACTTCAGGTAGCCTGCATGTTGCTCAGCTTACTTAAGAGACTACAGATTGTCCATTGGAAAGGCGGCCAAGTAAGCTTTTCAAACATACCATTACAGTAAGTCCATATGATTGCCGGACGGCTTGGTGAGATTCAACACGTTCGTATCGTATAGTGACTCGCAGCAGATCACAGGAAAGGATACCGTTTTGTATCTCTTCTCTCAAGTCAGCACATTTACAGAAGCTTTGGATATTGCATGGAACCACTCGACACTTAAGTACCAATGGTATCATATCACTCTCCATATCTACTCAAACTAGGGAGGCTGGATTCGGTCAGAACAGCACCGCACATCATCCGATTGGACCACCCCTTCGATTGCAGTGTCTGAGATCCAAGGATCTGAGTTACAGCCAATCAGTCGGCGTTTGGTTCCCGCCCAAACCGATTCCACAACGTCCGGTTGGTACAAAGCCAGTATTGGGGCATTACAACCGTCCACATTTTACGTCATCCACGTACGAGCTGTGGCCTCCTCAGGGTCCGGAGATCGGGCAATGTCTACTCCAGTGCAAACCTGGGATCCACGTGAGTTCGTTGTACACCATGTAGGATCAAATGACGACAAACTTCACATGATTAGTAGCAAGCATTTTATTCGAAATGCAAGATACAATATAGTATACTCATCCGGCATTGTCGACATCACGATACTGATATGTTTTCTTATTTTTCTGTTCATTAAAACAGTCGCTGCCTGCTTGTGGCATCTCGATTCTGCCTAGACTGCCAATCGATAACAAATTTACGTGTCCAAACTCTCTGTATAGAGGACCTGCGACAATTAGGATACTCCTGTACCTGGAAGGCATCTATAGAGTCAGTCTAGTCTAGCAATCCATAGAAGGCAGCTGCTCATCTTGTCAATGAAACGGATGGTCGAAATACGTCGTGGAGTGCAGTGTTGTGGGGCCGGCAACACCCAGTTTCCTTCTGCTTTCTCAATTGCAATTCTAGTGCTCAGATTGACCAAAGTACACTTTATTGCGAATCACTGTCCAATTAGATTACGCGTCTCCGACTAATTACACAAAGTGTCAGTAAAAGTTACCATGAAAACAATGAAAAAATAATTTGCGATGGGTAAAAGACTAGGTTTTGACAAGTTCTCTTGGATCATCAGAGTGAGGCGGACAAAGTCAAAGGTAACTAATGACAGTAAAGGTGGAAAAGTTGATTTTAGTGATTCACCAACCTGATCTCATGAACAATGAGTCTCCTTTACGGAGAAGGATAGTGAATGCGCTGGTTTGCGTTATTTCATCTTCCGACTAAAAGTTGCTTGTCATCAAATCGTCTCCTAAAATCGTTAATTATTTTTTATCTAAAATGACGTGTGTTTAAAATTGTAATGTTGGGGACATCCCAAGGAGAGTGCTGGGATGCAGAATATATAACCTTAATATTTCCTAGCAAGAATATCAGATTTTTGAAAAAAGGATCCGACTGACGTAAGTCAAAAATGCAACATGTTCCATGGTTTCCAGTCACGTAATTTCGGAATGACCAAGAGAGAAATACCATTCATATGTCATGCAACATGTGTGCAGCGTGTGTCTCTAAGGTGTATGTTACTAGCTGGTACTTGAAAAGTCACAGCAACTCACGGTGCGCCGCTGATTATAGGGTGGTCCATCGTGGATGGGGACTGGCCCCGCAATCATATACCTCTAGGTATAACTGGTGATGCGCATTCTCAGTGTGTTACAGCCAAGCATATTTGGTGTGTTTCGGCATTTTCAGCTGAGCACTTTGGTAACCGAGTAACGACATCACTGAGTGTAGAGATGACCATGTCTCTGGCAGTACTAAAGAGGCCAGTTAATTGGAAGTACGCAACAGATAATTGCTTTTGTGAAGATCCATCGAAGTTAGACTCAGGCCGACAGGCATCAAATATTCAGGAAAACGCTAGAAGAACGTTTCGTCTTATTGGGAATCGTCAGTAGCGTGCACCCGCCTAAACCTGCCTTAATTGGAACCCACGACTTCACGCTTGCAAACCAGCCACTTATTGCTACTGCGCCATGGGCGAAGGCAGCGTAAGGTGATGGCTGATATCTAACTGCGATATATCGCGTCTCATCTTCTACTGCCCACCACGTTATGAAAGTGCGGAGGACAGGGCTGGCCCTAAATACCCCCTACTACTTACAAATAATTAATAGTCGCCTTAGCAGCTTACGTGGTACCTCGATGGGTGGCAGATTGCAAAAGAATGCGTCACTCTGGGGGCCAACCCTGTCCTCCGCACGTTCAAAACATGCATGACTGTGGAGGATGAGCCGCACCATATCGCAGCTAGATATCAGTCATGGCGGTGCCCTGCCGTCGCCCATGGCCCAGTGGAATAATTCGCTGGCTCGCGAAGATGAGGTCGTGGTTTCATATCCGGAAGGTTCGACCGGTGCGCGCTAGTAACCAGTCCCAATGTCACGAAACGGTCGGTTAACACTTTCCTGGAAGTTTGGTGGCTGTCTACCTGATTCTACCTGCGACGCATCATGAAAAACCCAATAGATCCCCTATGACGTATAAAGATGACTGTGTCTGAAAATTTATGGCGTGCAGCACTCAACCACTTATGTCACAACTTGCAATTTTTTGCCACTCACGCTGTTCCTCAGGCAAGCTTTCGGGTAGTCAGCAACCACATGAACGTGGCACATCAAGGGTTTCATTCTGTCATCAGAATGTTTACCACACCAGATACATAATGATATCATAACCCTGCTGATAAATCACCCAAAAGAAGATTGTTTGCCCCTAAAGCAGAGACTATGGATACAATGGTTTATTTTGCTCATGAGTTGGCAGCATCGAATGAAAGGTGATGGTAGTGGTTACAAAAACATCTGGATCAGTTGGAATCAGGTAAGCAAACCACAATCCACCACATTGACAGTGATGTAGAAACTACTTCAGTTGCCCGGGGCGGACGTAAATTTGCCCCCCCCCCCGGCTGGCAGATGTGAACCAGTAAACCTACACAATTGCGAAGAGACCTTACATATTTGGATTCCTATAATAACAAAGACTAAATTTAAAGTACTACCGTAAATGCATGTATTTGTATTGTGAGCAAAATTTACAGATACATTTTTGTGCTTCACTCAAGGCAACCGCGTTGAGAGCACCAACAAAATTTAGTCCATCAGCGAATTCGCTCTCTATGGGAAGTATTGCTTATCCTTGAGCGTTGTCTTATTCATTGATGATTGGAGGTAGTTCGTTATGAACTTGAGTTTTGAGAATGAGCTTTCAAAGCCTGTAATGCTTAGAGTTCGATGAGAAAGATGCGCAGTAGAATCCCCAACGTGATATTGCTGTCTGAATTTCAAATGTTCAAAAGGTCCATTAAGATTGTCATTTCCTGAAGCTTACAAAAATGCCGTATTCAGCTTTCGGCACCTAGTGTTAATGTTATATATCTTCCTCAACTCTGCTAAGCGGACAACCATAGTTTTTAGCAAGCATATTTGTCTGTGTAAGGAAACATATTTGTTTGCAAGCTTATGAGTTTACTGAAGTCTAAACATTTCTTCAATCCAACTGCTTGGGACAGACAGAATTTCCCGTTTTAACTCAGCATCAAATCCCATCTACATTTCAAACTGTTCTTCACCGTCCATTTGTTTCCTTTGCGGATTCGATGCTTCACGCTTATCCCCAATTCAGTGTAGTGCTTTTAGATTTATTCAGTTCAATATCCATCATCTTATCTACATTCGGAAGAAGGCAAAAGCTTAACGTCGCAAGCTTAACAGCACTTTGCCGCAGATCCAGGCCTTGTGTATGTTCATATTTGTGAATTGTTGATTTTTATGAGACGAGTTCTCTAAAGCATCAGAAACAAAGTAAACGGAAGCGACAATATCGAAATGCGATTTAAAGTTTCATCTGTTTTGGTGAATGCATTTTTTCCTTGTTCTGCGAAATGTTTCAGAAAAGTAACGTGTTTCGAGTATTTCTTCGCCACAACACTTACAGCGCTTGCTCAACTGTTCCACCTAGATTTTACAACCAATTGCTACTTAGACCGCTGAGTTGAATCAAGACATTCCAATCATATTTAGATGAAAAACGAATGAGAAAAGTTAGTCCATTGTACGAGAAACGTAAAAATATGAAATGTCCCAGGAGCTTGATGTACACAAGCCAGATTCGGGGAATGGTTTATGTACGGCACTCATGTAGCTTTGGGTTGGCTTTGCTGGTGTCTCTGTTTGCCATAACAGTAGCATTGGCAAATGCATAGCCAAGCAGCTATCAGTCTGAATTCCATCCTTCTCCGGTTTTCTCAAATCAGTCCAGAAATATTCTCAGCCTTTTTGCAGTTGATCCCAATGAAGCTGAGAAACCACCCCTCTACGATCAATTCATTTTCACCTATCCGATTTTTCCGTAAAACATCGGGATTGTTATCACAATTGAAGCAAACGTAATTGTTTTCCTTGAACGAATCTATGATTTTCTTTCTCACCTGTCCTGATAAAATGCCCACAAATTCATTTTGAACATGTGGTGACAAAGCTAAAGTGCTGATTTTTCCTCCCAGCTAAACCGTCACCAAACGTTCATGAAGAACAGGCTCATATTTGGCAAACACATGTACAAATACTGAAAACTTCCCCCTTTTTTCCTGGCCACCTTCGTCATCCTAGATGAGTCTCGGAGACCACACAGTGTCCTCTTTTGCTTGACAAAGAACTTGACGATGTCAAGTATACTTGCCATAATTTTACGACACGTCTTTTCTACAATTGCCTTCCTTCAACTAGCCGGACTGCTAGCTCCTTGTTGTTGAGGGGGGTGGGGAAGACTGCGCACACAATTTGTCACATTCGTTTTTATAATATGCTTTTTGATTTACTTTCCAACAGTTTCTGAAAACCTTATCAATCGAAAAACTAGACTATCCAGTTGAAAACATCCTGCAGCTGAGACAAATAAGGGCCCATTTTAGAGGATAATACATCATTCGCGTGTGCAAACTTCGCTCCTTTTCTCGCAACCCTCGAAAAAACGAGTTTGTAGTTACCTTCTTAGCCTCATTTTTGTATTCGGTTCAAGTAGTACCACCAATGGAATTTTTGACCGAAGGGCTTCACAACTATAAATCAGAGAAGCATAGGGAGAATTTTATGATTAAACTTAAGATGCCACTGACCGACATCCATAAAGTCAGTTGATGTGCGCATTATCACGCCAAAGTGTGGTTGCATTTGCAGTTCTTCAACTTGGCGCGCAACTTCTGCATCAGCATTACAAGCACTTCCCATTGTATCCATGCTTTCAATATCACCTACAGTTTCCCAGGAGATCAACGTTTGTAGTATCATTATTTTCTGCGGTCTCAAAATGAGTGTGTCTCTTCATTTCTACCTCTTCAGCCATCTAGGTAACTAGAGTGAATTTGCTCTTTGTGGTGAACAATCATCCGTACTAAAAATACCACACCCGTCATATACCGCCCGGGGCGAACCGCCTCCCGCGCCGCCACATGCTGCGCCTCCGCTCATTTACCATGATTGGCATGAACCTTCTAACACCCGGCTCGTGTTTATAATACATACTAGCTGCTTGAACAATAATAAAACACCTCCTAGTGTCATTCGATAGTCCGCGGAAATGTATGGAACTGTACTTTCCCCAACAGCATAGATCTGCGACTCCTCATGAAATGATTGCGCTGCTTGTGTGCGTAGGCACGCAAACATTAACAGCGGCGTATCTTAAACCGGACAAAAGATATGCGGAGCTGCGGTCTTAAAACTCAGTACAGGTAACTCCATATTCGTAAGCCGCAGATTTAAATCCGTCAGTCGCACATAGTACGTACCAGATTTTACCTAAGATAATTGCCTACGGGAACAGTTAAACGTGTGAACAACAAAATTTGCAGGGAAGGCAAGCTATACAATGATGCAATTCGGAGGTTGGAAATGCACATTCCATTAAAAATATGATGCACTACGAGAGAAGTCTTTTACATACAACCATCATCAAATACCCGGATGACCGAGTTCAAATACCTCAAATTATCTGAACATTAATCAGAGGAGAGACGGTCTGTATTGAACGAATATACACGCAACCGTCGCCAAAGCGCGTGATATGGAGTTAACCTAATTACCTCTATAAAGAGCTTCTACACATGCATGTAAAGACGCTTGATTTCATAGCTCCCAGTAGCCGTAAAACAGTAAGGCTTTTGATTTTGGATGATGCGATTCATTTCTGCTGATTACTTCGTCCTTCGAGAATATCAACAGAAAAGCACATCTTTTCGACATATGGCAAATCAAAAGTTTCACTACCCGTAATCTATTCTCAACACAGCTTTGCCTGCCCCGAAAAATCTGCGACTACTCAGTCAGGTGTTTCCACCCAAAACCTATTCCACATTCCCACAAGTCTCCATCAAAGTTTCTTGGGAGCCACTACAAGGTGCTACTGAAATCGTCACTTATAGGATACGATGGCGAATGCTACTCAGTGCCTTGGCCCCTCATCCAAGCGATGACACCAGTTCACCCAGAGAAAATAGGCGAATTCGGTCCGGAGTTGATCACGGGGATATAACTGCTGAACGTTGGATCTACTGGCCTGATCCAACGGAGGATTGTCATGCTCCGCTCGAAATGATACCTTGTCGTTTGCAGTTAGATGAGGTGAACACTACTGAGACGAATTGGATCTCAATACCTGGGCATTTCCGTGAGTCAGATTTTGTTACCGACATCAAACCTTTTAAATTGGTGCATATGCAACAGGTTCAGTGGATTCGTAGTTAATTGAGCTCCCTAATAGGATTTTCTCTTCAGTCTTTCATCCTCACCCCAACTAAGGCTGGTAAAGCATTGCACAATCGCCAATCGAACATCCTTCTGTTCATTCTCTATTACAATGCAGTTCTGAGCATGACGTACGAATTTCGCGTGGCCGCATTAACTACTGTGCAGGCAGGACACGAAGCGATACAACTGATAGCATTGGAGGGGGCAGGTGAGCGCCACGAATCATTTCCTTTTATGTGTGTTAAATTTTGAATTGAATGGGTGGCCTAAATTGACCCATAGCATTCTGTAACAAAAGTAATAAGCGATAAACGACACATCCATCATTGATATGCACACTTCCCGTCATTTTTGAACAGGTTATGGAAAATAAATTTTGCCGCTTTGACCCAAAATTAACCCGATATTTACAGGTTCAGGTTTCAAAGCCTATTTCCCTTTGCTCGACAAACCTGGTAGCCAATGCATTTTGATGGCTCAATACGGTTTTGTCGCCATGGCGCGCAACACACTTTCCACGCAGTTATGTGACAGAATAAATAAGGTGGATTCGACCACTCTCACCCTCCCACCGCACACCGCCTGACTGAAACTTGAGGGCGGTGACCTTGTAACCGGATCCAATTGGGACTCCGCGTAACATTTGAAGTGACTCTTTGACCTGCAACAAGATTAATCTCCCATTTAGGTGGTTTATCGTCCTCGATGTTTGCTGTAGCAACAGTAAGCTGGATCGCTTGACCTGGAGAAGCATTGTAGCACAGATGAACCTTCTTATACCTAACATAAAAACCGAGTAAATTCTAGCTCTCCTGAAGTGATGAGTTCTCCATGGGTTCCATTGATAATTTTAGAATTGCAATCCATTTGAATAATCAAAAGCTGCCACCTAGCAGGTTCATTTTGCTGTCGATCACTGTTTCCAACTTCTTCCACTATACCGGTATCACAACGTACCGAGACTGCTGTTCCTGGAGTCTTGGATTCTGAAGCTAGCGCTGTTTATTTAAATTCAAGCTGCAATATTTTATTAACTGACGACTCCGGCAGCATGCAATGAGGTGTCCGAAACCGCAAGTACCACCAGCTTCATACGGACTTTAATACCGAGCATCCACACCGATGGTCGCCAGCTACAGCTTGCTTTTCAGCTGTGTCAGTTGCCGTTAACGCCGGCAATATCGCCGGAATTTCGTAACACGGACGGACCTCCTAACCTTCGGCTGCGAAGTGTTGTGTGATCATTCTGCATACTCCCTGATCGTCACTGCAAGTTTGACAAGATCATGGCGATGCATTCGGTCTCCAACAACGTAGAGTCGCGTACTTGCAGTAGAGATCAACTTCTAGCGTGAACCAACTTGTCACACGTCCGGGTGGCTGTGGACCACATGAATGAAGCTGTTTCCGCGAGCGTACTTAGCTAAACCATGAACGACGCTGAATAGCGGGTTTATGAGCCCATAAGATGAAATAAACAAATAAATAAAGAGAAAGATATCCAGAGAATTCATTAATTCTTCTGTTAAATCCCGTGCCTTAGTTCTCTCGGCACCGAAAACAAAGCAAATGTCGTCACTCTTTGGTCCGTCTGATGGTTGTACAGAGGAAAATATTCCCATGCGCAATACTCGTCTGTATAAGGAGCTGACCACCTCGAGTGCCACCGATGAGGCGCTTTCTGTAGGCTTGTTTGATTCAGCTCAACGAGACGCAGAGTCACAGACCCCTGCTCCCGTTATTAAGACGAAAAAGCAGACTAAAGCTACCCGTAACACTTTGGGCGGGCGCGAACACCGGAAGAAAAATAAATAGGACACCTACAATAGAGCGAAAGACACATACTTCCGTTAGTTCAACGTAGTCTGAGGGATAAAGACAGTCACATCAGAAGTGGTGATGCTACCTGGTATAAGTGATAAATCAAAGACCTGTGCGGTAAGGAATGCGGTGCACAAGTTATGTGCGTTTGTAGATAGGTCTCAGCGCGATATACTCGCATACACTGAAACGTCGCTTTTCATGGACATCACGGAAGGTAAAGCACATCTAGATGACTACACACTTTAGTTTTCGATCGCCCCTTTGGCTTTCAGGGTGGGGGCATCGCAATTCATGTAGGATGTAAACGACCTTTTGAGGTCCTGCTTGTTTCAGTCGGTAGACGAAAATGTTGAAGCAATGCCGGCTGTGAGTAGCTTTACCTCGGCTCAAATTACAACTGTATTTGTGTATAGGAGTTCTTGGAGTGCATCAAAGAGGTGCTTGACATTATTCACTACTAGTCCGAAAACAGGTGTTTGGTGCTGGGCCACTTCAACGCCCCTGAGGATTTTCGGGTTGATGTTTCCTGCAACTCAGCATCAGGTACTTTCGGCGCAGGGATTCTTGAGCTTACGCTACAAGTAATGTTGCATCAGTTCATAGAACTTCCAACTATGTACATGGAAGCCCAATTACCGTCCATGTTAGAACTTGTGTTTGTTAAGTCCCTCGACATTGTTGGTGACATTACTTACGGACCTCCACTACATGCTGTTGATCAAGTTAGTTTGTGCTTCAGTCGTACTCATTCTAGACACTACCAGATTACTGTAGAGTCTCGCCTGACCAATTAGCGCACAAACTATCAAGCACTTAGAACCAATACTTCAGGTAAGCCTTATGAGATCTCGGAGGACGTTGATGTTCAGCTTGCTTGGTCGAAAGTCAAGTTTTACCCCACCGAGATCTCTGTTCCTTTAATACTTGTCACGAGGAGAAAAGAACCACGAGCATGGCCAATCTGGATAGATACCACTGGCGGGCACCTGCTCACTAAGTGGTCTAAAGTCTGGCAGAATTACCGAGGGGCTCCATTCACCGGTACATCTAACAGGTACAGTGGGGTTGGAAATAACTACATGCAACACATATGGAATGCTTGGCTCATGCTACAGAAAGAGTTGACAGAAAGAGCCCCAGGGAATCCGAAACTTAACGATTCCAAAATTGATGAGTGCCGAGGTTACTCATGCTCATACGTACCAGAACAAGGCCTGTGTACTTGATAGGCAGTATGCAGCAAAGTTTGTAAGGGAAATCTATTTGACAGGCATTGCGCTAGTTTCCATAGTTCAACAGGGTTCGTGCGTTGCTGCGTTTATTGTAGCAGAGACGGAATCACTAGGCTGCTACCAAGACTTAACTCATCTAAGTCACCTGGGTCTGACTTAATTAACTCGAAGCCGTTCCTTGAATTGACTGCTGAAATAAGTGGACCACACGCTATCACGTTACATAAGTCGCTTGACAACTGCAAATTGCCTACCGAAAGGGTGGAAGCTATAATCTGTCCCATCTTCAAACATGGCGAAGAAAATATGCCTGCTAATTACAAATCAGTTAGTCTGACGAGTGTAGTAGTCAAACTCATCGAGAAAATGGTTAGAGATCCACTGAAGTTTTATCTGAATGTATTCAGTTTATCTAACTATGATGGTAGTATCAGAGCAGATTGAGCAGATGGACCAACCGAGCGAGCCAAACAGCCAATGGGAGGCGGACGTGACGGATTCGATTACTGAACTCGGATTGGACGATATCCGTGTGAGTGATTCACCGTTTGTTTAACTGAAGCAGAGGAGGAATCTCATCGACTCAGAAGGGTCGTTAGTTATGGACTTGAAGCTACAACTTATATCGAGGAGTTTGACTTCTTAACATGCTGTAATTTTCGTTCAGCTGTCGTTGACGAAGAAACGTTAGTCCCTGAAGTACTGGGTTCTGAAACATTAACAATGCGCATTGTCCTCTAATTTGTGTAACTGTTTGGGCGACAGTCTCATACGCGATCGGATCGTTCTAGGAATCAAATAAGAAAGTACGACAAAGCGGCTTTTGCGACAACGCAACTTATCGCTTCAGCAGTGCATTGCTATCTGCAAAATTGAGTCCTCAACAACCCATCAAGACCAGCAACAGGTGCAGAATTATGTGCCGTTTCCGCAGACGAAGCAGCGTAGGCTACTACCATGAGACAGATCTGCAAATTTTGCGCCACGCGACATCCGAGTACCCGCGAACCCTGTCCGGCGTGGGGACATAAATACGCCAGAGATGGAGGAAGGAACCACTTTCCTCGCTGTTGTCGATCAAACAAGGTGAGTGCGGTGGTTCGTGACAAGTCCCACTCACATGCAGAAAATTCATTTGGCAATGGATCTCGGAGGGTACCGCAAAAATATGTATACACAAGTCTTTTGATCAAAGGCAAAGCCGTACGATTCCAGTTAGACATGGGTGCTACTGTTAGCATTCTACCAAAGATGCAGTGTCCCGGAGTGTGCTTATGTGGAACGGTTTTAAACTTCATAAGAAGTGCTCCGCTACGATCAAAATTGGTTGACCCAAGAGAAGGAGCCGCCTATCGACTGGTGTTTGTGATCGTGGAGGTGAAGCTTCCGCCGATTCTCGGCATTGATTCTATTCAGTCTCTTAGTTTTGTTTCAATCGTGATCGTTTCGTTTATGCTTGTCAGGGAAAAGGTGATATTAGTGACCAGTATCCGTCGGTGTTTAGCCCAAGTTTGGGAAATTTTGAGGGAACCTCTCACTTGTTATTTGGTCTTTTGATATGACCGACAGCGCTACCAGCTAGGAGAGTTCCATTTCCACCGCGTGACAGCTTCTCCGCTGAATTGAGCAAAATCGTGAGAGGAGGTGTGATTGCCAAAGTCAACGAGCCAACCGACTGGGTTAGTCAGGTCGCAATCATTATGAAACACATGGGCGAACTGCGCGTGTGCATTGACACAGAAGCGTTGAATGAGGCCTTGCGTAGACAGCATTACGCGCTACCTACCTTAGAAGACATTTTGCCGCGTTTGGTCAAAGCTGTTTTTCACGAAGATAGATATCTCTTCGGCATTCTGGCACGTAGTTTAAGATGATGAATCCAGTTTCCTTACTACCTTTGCAATACCGTTCGGGCTTTATCGTTGGTTGAGTTTACCGTTTGGCTTAAAGGTTTGGAGGGAAACTTTTCAAAAGTGATTGGTGCAAGTGGTAGACGATTTAGATGTTGTAACATGCTTGACAAAAAATGTGTTGATCTATGGCTCGACAGAAGAAGAGCATGACGCTAATCTCCACCGTTTCTTACCAAGTTGTGTGCAAAAGAACATCAAACTTAAACGTAAAATTATTGGACTTCATAAAGACGAGGTGA